AGCTGAGGAGCCAGGGATGGCTGTCTGGCAGGCAGCAGCAACCACACTCGTGTCTGGACGCACAGTGCCACCGCGTGGAAACAGACCCCGCTCCGGCTGAAGGGAAGGGACGGTGGGGTGGGTAACCCCAGACCCACACAGGATGCTTTTTCTACATTTTGTGGTGTTTTCTGCTTTTTTCTAGGAAGGAAATCATGGAAAGCCTGAAAATAAGATTTTATAAAACCTGATAGAAAAGAATTCTGAAATCCAAACTGCTAGTCCCTTGCGGTATAAACAGCAATCTCCTTTAAGCTCTGATCCTGTCTTAGTGAAATGAGGACTTTGGTATGTGGCTTGAGTTCTGAAGGCAAAGCTATTTCCTTAAAAAAAGTAGGCATTTATGCCTGTTTCTTAAAAAAGCACAAAAACTAAAACCAAAACGCCCCCTCCACACCCAAAAGCGCAGCCAACCAAGACAACCAAGAAGTCTGAGATGACAAGTTCACTAAAATGGGAAAAACTTTCTGCGTCTAGCAGGAATCATCAGAAATCAGAGCTTAGTCAGCTTTATTCCAGCAATAAAGCAAACATAAAAGTAGCCACAGCAGCTCACAGCAAAGGTCTATTTAAGCCTAGTATCATTTTTCAAATAATGGCCAAAAGCCAGTAAAAAAAAAAAAAAAACAGAATAGGGCAAGCATATGCAATACTGTTTTCCCCATTCTAAATCCTTCTCAGCTGGATGTGGTTCCTAGGTATTTAGCATCCCTCAGTGCCACCTCCCCTGTGAACTTGTCCATTCTCCTCTTCAACACATATACTTTTAATATTCACACCATATTCTGGCTAGTTCTCCAACTCCATTACCTGTGAATCATAGAATCATAGAAAGGTTTGGGTTGGAAGAGACCTTAAAGAGCATCGAGTTCCAAACCCCTGCCATGGGCAGGGACACCTCCCACCAGCCCAGGTTGCTCAAAGTCCCATCCAGCCTGGCCTTGAACCCCTCCAGGGATGGGGCATCCACAGTTTCTCTGGGCAACCTGTTCCAGTGCCTCACCACCCTCACAGCAAAGAATTTCTTTCTAATATCTAATCTAAATCTCCCCTCTTCCAATTTAAAACCGTTGCCCCTTGTCCTGTCACTGCACTTCCTGACAAAGAGACCCTCCCCAGCTCTTCTATAGGCACCCTTCAGATATTGAAAGGCCACTATAAGGTCTCCCCGGAGCCTTCTCTTCTCCAGGCTGAACAATCCCAGCTCTCTCAGCCTGTCTTCATAGGGGAGGTGCTCCATCCTTCTGATCATCTTCATGGTCCTCTGCTGGACCCGTTCCAACAGGTCCATGTCCTTCCTGTGTTGAGGACTCCAAAGCTGGACGCAATACTCCAGGTGGGGTCTCACCAGAGCAGAGCAGAGGGGCAGAATCACCTCCCGTGACCTGCTGGCCACAATTCTCTTGATGCAGCCCAGGATGTGGTTGGCTTTCTGGGCTGCCAGTGCACATTGCTGGCTCATGTTAAGCTTCTCATCCACCAACACCCCCAAGTCCTTCTCCTCAGGGCTGCTTTCTAGCCATTCTCCACCCAACCTGTATTTGTGGCACGTTCCCAGTGCAGGACCCTGCACTTGGCTTGGTTAAAGTTCACGCGAACTTCATGCAGAACCACATCTTTTGATCTTGCTGAATCAGGACCATGTTAGCTTCACTTGTGGTCCCCCAGCTCTCCCGCTGGAAGAATGGACATTCGGCCCCTGCCCATTCTTTTCATGCCACTCATGATTCCACAGGCCTTCCTTACATCCTCCTCAGACACCCCTTTCCAGGATGCATTCTGGGTGCCAGCTTTCCTGGTCATTCCTCATATGGCAGGGGGTCTGTCTTTGACCATTCCTTCTTTGTTTCTCTAAATCTCACTCATTTTCACTATATGCTTTCTGAGCTGGGGATGGAGCAGGGGAACCACATCGGCTGTTTGAGATGAACCATGGATTAACACAAGGGCATGACAAGATTCTTTTGTTTGTTCCTTACTGTTTTCCACCAACGTTTACCATCTGACATACCTTTTTGTCAACACAATGGCATGACAAGATTCTTTTGTTTGTTCTTTACTGTTTTCCACCAATGTTTACCATCTGACATACCTTTCTGTCTGCTGCTGAGCATTGTGGTTACATTTTCATGGAAACGTTTATCATAACTACTAAATAGTGCTCTTTATTGAGAGCCGACACAGGTTTCCCTGTCAACCCTGCCAAAGTCCTTCTCTCTATCCATCTGAAACCACCCTCCCACCAGCCCCAGTAAGCAATCCCCATCATAGTGCCACAAGATTGGACAACTCTCACCTCACCCACTGCCTTCATTTCATCACATCCCAGCCATCTCCTCTCTCTTATGAACAATCCTGGCTTTCCAGTCATCAAGACATCCAGTCATCTAATCTAAATCTCTCATCTTTCAGTTTAAAACTATTACCCCTCATCCTGTCACTACACTCCCTGGTAAAGAGTCCCTCCCCATCTCTCCTGTAGCCCCCTTTAGGTACTAGAAGGCTGCTAGCTTTTAGGAGGCTTTCCAGAGCCTTCTCTTCTCCAGGCTGAACAGCCCCAACTCTCTCAGCCTGTTTTCACAGGAGAGGTGCTCTAGCCCTCTCATCATCTTTGTGGCCCTTCTCTGGACTCACTCCAACAGGTCTTTGTCTTTCTTATGTTGGGGCCCCCAGAGCTGGAGACAGTGCTCCAGGTGGGGTCTCACCAGAGCAGAGGGGCAGAACCACCTCCCTCAACCTGCTGGCCACACTTCTTTTGATGCAGCCCAGGGTACAGCTGGCTTTCTGGGCTGCCAGCGCACATTGCCAAGTCACGTTGAGCTTCACCAACACCCCCAAGTCCTTCTCCTCAGGGCTATTCTCAATCATACTACACTCCAGCCTTCGACTCCTCTCAGCTTACTCTCCAATACCTTCTCTTCAACTCAAAACCAGAGCAATTAGCCAGTGACATTTTCTGGCTAATTTTCAGTCGCCAATCCAACTATTCAGACTGCAAACATTACTACAAATATTTTTCTTCTAAAATCGCGTTTAACAAGTTCTTATTAATAATCTATTATATAAACAAACAAAAAAGAACAACAGATCTAAAATCTACATATAACACTAAGCTTCCTAGTCCCCTGCTGCAGCAAATAAAAGCATTACTTTTACAAACCAGTCACATTCAATTTAAAAAGTGCCATGTTTTTGCTCCTCTTTGACCTTTTGGACGGCTGCTCCTGAACATCAGTGCGCTCTGACGGTTAGAAATTTTCATATATTATTAATCTTAAAATCTATGTTAAATTATTCATGTATCAACATCATTCTTGAGCTCAATTTATTCACAGCGTTTACCTTGACGGTTCAATAGAAAGCAAAAAAGGTCTTTATTCTGCAAAACTAAAAAAGCGAAAAGCTTCTTTCAACAGACTCTTAATTTCCCTACCATTTCTAGGCACATCTTCCTGCACCTGTTTCACTTTAGCTTTTCACATGAGATGATTAACATGATATAAAATATTCTAGAGTTTTGTTCATGGATTATAGTAACTTCTTTTTCTGGATCATCATAGGTCAGCATTCACTTTTTCCATAACTGTATATCTTGTAACTACCCAATATACATTTTGGTTTTGTGGTGCTTTCAATCAGTAAGAATTTCAAATTGTGTGCTTACAAGGTCGCAAACACAAGCTCTGGTTCTTTAAATTCTTATTGTACTTATTTCATCCTCTAGATGTTGGGATCATCCAATTCTTTCCGTGTAGTGCTGTAACCCACTTCTACGTCGCCAATGCTTCCCAACTCTTCATTGTTACTAAATGAGAACTGTAAAGTTTTAATTGTTACATCAAGATTTTTATTAAATATTTAGTAACATTGGTGTCAAGATGGATCTTCAAAGAATTTGTTTTATAATCTCTTATACTCAGATTTGATGTTTTTTCCTTTCAATATTACTCACAGTTTGCCTCCTGCTACTTCCCCATTCTCTTTACAAATCTGGTGTTACCCCTATCTTTCCAGCACAGTAACAAATTCCTTTGCAGCACCTGATCAAAAACATTAGTGTTGTCTAGAAAACAAAGAAAACCACTCCATTTCCCTTAAAAACAGTAATTACTTTATCAGAGACGCTTTTGTGGCCAGGTTAAAAGAAGGCCTTCTGGCAAAAATATGTGTCTTCACCGTTTTCTCCTAAAGAGTATGTTCCAAAGCAGCACCCACAGGGGCTGCACGCTTGTTACCGTCCTACCCGGAGGGCAGCCGCTCCCCGGCCCCTCTTTCCCTCCCGTCCCGCGGTGCCGGCTGGCGGTGCCCTCCCCGTTCTCTCTCTCATGTGACACCAGCACCGCCGGTGCTCCCCCTCACCAGCTCTCGGGCCCGCGTCGTTTCCGCCGCCGCCTGCGGTGCCTGTCACCGCCGGGCCCTCCTCCCCGCCGCTTCCCGGCCGCGGCCCCACGCCCTCCGGCCCCGCTCCCCGCCGGCCCTCCGGGGGCGGTGCTGACGCC